TAAGATCTTCTACCAGGTTAGAATCAACTGCAGTACATTTTAACTGTTATACTTTTAATAGAAATAATTAATGAATCATCATTAGATATCTTATAAAAGTATTTTTCAGAAATTAGTATAAAATAAGGTACATGTATCAATATTGAATGTCGTGTACACGATATTCCAAGGATTATGGAAGTGAATAGTAGATATTGAAGTCAAGTTGAAATAAATGACAATTGATTGACAATTAACAATCTCTGATTACAGCTAAAATTGTACAATACTGTGATAGAGGATGTTATATCTGGCGTAAGGGAATCTTTCATAGACGAAGGTGTAGATGAACAAGTTCTACAGGAGCTCAAACAGATATGGGAAACCAAGCTAATGTCTAGTAAAGCTGTCGAACTTAATCCAGATCCTCCAGAACCTCAGGTTCCTCAATTAAATACGCACAAAGCTGTGCCTGTTAATAAAGGTAAACACCTATTTCTGTCTCTTGTAAAATGAATCCCTACACACGATTATACACATGTGTCTTTGATTCACAAATCTTCATATTACAGGAGTAAATATAGGAAATCATTCTGTGCAACAAACAGGAGGGAACGCTGTTGCACAAGCATCGCAGCAACAGCAACAGTCTCCTCAGCAGTCGCAAAGTCAGACGCAATGCCATCCAACTACAACTGGGATTCAGCAGCATACTGGCCAACCGGTACAACAACAATTAGTAACGTCGTCGTCGGCAGTGATGGACCGGCAAGTACCTATTCAAATAACGTTGCCACCGCAGGCGGGTGTACCAGATGCTCCACTGAGAGTATTGACGATTCAGGTTCCGGCATCTGCGATTCAAGGTACATTGTAAAAAAGGTCACGTTAATGGAATCGTGAACTGACTGTTCGCTTATATTTAGGTAATCAGTTACCCAGTATTTTAACGGGTCCAATTATCTCGGCCGCTATGGGGTTGCCAGCGAATTTGGCTTCCACGTTACTGCAACAGCATGTCAATTCCACGCTCCAGGGACAAGCAACACTGGCGTCGCTTCAAGTCAGTCAGCCCCTTCAGGTCGTCACGCAAAATGCCAATAACGTTTCTCAGCGGCCTGTCCAAAATCAGGTAATTAATGGAAATAATTATGTTCCTCAAGTTTCCTGCTTTTTATGCTCGAAAAATGAGTAAGTGCAAATGTATATTTTATTTTATGGACAGAATAATATAGCACAATTGGATGGTGCATTTGGCGATTCTTCCGATGATGACGAAGAAGAGGAGGAAGAAGATAACGAAGATGAAGAGGAGGATCTCGACGACAAGGAAGAAGAAGAAAATGATGAGGCTGCAGCGAGAGAAGAGGTATAGGAAACTGTGTTGTTACGTCCATTCTTCTTCTATCAACGCTTACTAAGAAATTGTAAAATAATTTAGGAGCCATTAAATTCAGAAGACGATGTAACAGATGATGACCCGGCGGATCTTTTTGATACAGACAACGTTGTCGTTTGTCAGTACGACAAGGTATTTTATATCTTTGTTACGATATTAAATTGTTACCAAAAATCGTCACCGAGGAACTTATTGAGCTACGATGATTCTTTCAGATAACGAGGAGTAGAAATAAGTGGAAATTCTACCTCAAAGATGGGATAATGAACCTCAGCGGCAAGGATTACGTTTTTCAAAAAATGAACGGTGATGCTGAGTGGTAAATTATAGGATACGATATGAAAACAGTCTGGTAATGTGTTCACGTGAAATTGGTATCAAATCTTGTCTCGGAATTTGGTTTTGAAAAGTCAATTATTCGTTTAGGATCAATTAGAACTGTTTTAGTTATGTAACGCATTGAAATCTGAATTATTTAACCATGCGAGCGGTTTTTAACTTTACAATGATACAATACATTGGAAATTTTCAGTTTAAGTTATCGTTATATTTATAATTATTATAAAGAAGCCTCCTTCAACTTAAATCGAGAACGTTTAACGACGTATGTAAAAACTTTATTATTTTATGTTGCTTTATTTTTCGTTCCAAATAATCATGGTTTCACCGCACGATAAAGAGCTCAATAATCAAGGAAGCCTTGTACTGTATGTTAAAGAGTCGGCGAGTTTTTTCACGTGACTTTAATATGTAAATAGAATCTAAGGGATCTATCATAAATATGTGATTCTCTTAAAAATAAATGTGTCTTATACTGTGAAAAACCTCAATACATAACGTTTTCAATAAGATTATACATTGTAAAAAATGTATAATTATTTAACCTTATCAATTTTGTAAAACCACATGTCCTGAGTCTTTGAGAATTCTTTATTTGAGAAGTATAAAGTTCAGGAGAATTTATTCACGTAACAGAATATTCTTTCTTTTAGCTCTTATCCTCTAATTCACTAACAATTCGAGGAACTTCTTGCAATAATTCTTCTGCATTCATTTCAAAATTCTTATCCAACCAAATATCTTTCAATTTTTTAATGACAGCGCCAAGCATCTTCTGGTTTGGTACTTGTTGACTTAGTATATGGCCCGTAACTGGCAATCTGAAAATATAATAAAACACATTAATTAAAGGAATATTGATAGCATGTTTATTGGTTAGTTATTAGAAAGAATCTTTTATTGTTCAATACTGTTTAATATTTATTTTAATAGAAAACATAAAATATATATTAATTTGTAAACGAACTGTTACATTTATAAATGATGCAAAACATGTACGAAGTGAAGTGTATCTCTCATTTCTAATCTCTTTTTTTAAAAGATGACCGTGATATTAAAACTACAAGTTTCTCTAAATCTTACCTAGGTATAACTGTTTTTTCTATTTCTTCGACTAGATTATACTTTTGTTTACATTTTAGCAATTCACATATATATGTCTTCATATGCTCGGGTTTTCCTTTTGCGTGCATAAGAATTCTTTTATAAAATTTCAAGGCATCCGTCGTAGGCTGATCCTCCCAGAATCTAAGTACAAAAAATGCCAGATCCCTCTCAAATGCAGAAAATTTCAATCTTTTATGGAGTTGAAGTACGTCATCCTCATTTTTCAGCAACATGGCAAGATAAGTAATCGGTTGTAAAGAAAAGTTATTTTGTTTACATCCATCAGAAACAGTTTTAAATCTTTCTATATCCAGATTGTCTGGAAGTCCTACGTATCTGAAAAGTTAATAACAATCGTTTTATGGTGTAGATCAAAAAATTGTTTATGACGTTTCGCAATTTATTATTACTTTGCAATGCCACACTCAAACATCTTTAAAGTTAATTCTTTGGCGAAATTCCCAGAAAGAATTTTCGCCCATTCATTCCAAATTCTTTCTCCTGAAATCCCTTCCAATCCATGTATATTCTCTTTTATTGCTGCTATCGTAAATTCGTTGTAATCGTTTGGTCGTTCAGCGATTCTCCCATAAAATCGAAAATACCTACAGGAAATGAGTAAATCAAGTAGTTTAATAACAGAGCTTAATATAGGTGGTCATCCAAACAATTAATGGAGCACCTTAGAATTCGCAGATAGTCTTCCCTAATTCTGTATGCTGGATCTCCAACAAAAACGACCCTTCTCTTTTGCAGATCATCATAGCCAAAGAAATAATCGTACACTCTTCCGTCGAGATCGAGGAACATGGAATTTATCGTTAGATCTCTTCGGCGAGCATCTAATTTCCAATCTTTCGTAAACTGTACTTTTGCGTGTCTACCATCAGTATGTGTGTCGATCCTTAAAGTTGTCACCTCAAAATTCTCTTTATCATTTATTCTTGGTGTCATCGTGCCTGAAATAATACCCCCGAATGACAATGTTCCGTTTCATTAAAGAAATATTGTACTTTAATTTACCATGTTTTTCTCCTTTGGCGTTGATCAATCGAACCTTTTCTTTCTCAAACATCTCTTTCATTTGATCCGGAGTAGCATCCGTTGCAAAATCTAAATCCGTCGGTTTTATATCCATCAAAATATCTCTAACAGCACCACCAGCAATCTTGATCTCATAATTATATTGTTTAAACAATCGCGCTAGTTCGTTAAGTTCTGGTGTAAATATGGAATGAAATAGTGGATTATCCAATTTTGTGATCACTGGATTTGATCTGCTTCGTGGCATCAACTCCTCCTTCATAATGACTTTTTCCCACGTATAGTTCTTATTAAACAAACGTTTATTAATATATATATTACGTATACAAATTATGAATGAATATAAATATGATTTGCATCAAGTCTGATAAGATACACGATTGGAACTGTGCAATTTAATGGCAACATCAAAAATTGAATATACAATGTTTTCTCATTTGAAATTCGAAGAAAGTCGTTCGGTTTACGAATATTTATTCTCAAGAGATACTAAATAATGTTGTAGTTTCAAGATTGATGCTCTCAGAGACATAACCACAGTTCCTAAACATGTTACACACTTACGCGTAATAGATGACGAAAAGGAATACAGTTCGTACGACGAAAAATGATTAACATTGCTTAAACCATTTTTTGGAACACCACTTAAAAACAAACCAATTCAACTTTTTTTAGTAATGCTTTATTTGTTTTGAAACACGACTGCCCACGAAAAAAGCATAATCGCAAATCGTAACCCCTTCCCTATTTCTATTAGATCGCGCATCCCCATATATCTGGCGACAATGTAAATTAAATATTGTGAAATATAAGTTAAATTGACAGTAACAGTTTGAAAATTAGGAAGTAGAATAAAGGGTATTGTATGACACAGTTCTAAATGGGATGAACGATGGTTTGGTTCGGGGTAAGAGCGGAGAAAGCATAAAAATCGGACATTTCAGTTGGTTCAATTATAATTTAACTTTCTCCGATAATATTAAATTCTTTATTTCTCCTTTCATTTTATATACATCGTTATTTTAGTACAAAAGATTCCGCACGTATATGTAGGCATACACTCTGCTGTTCGCACCTAATGTCACAAATTTGTGTCTGTAATTATTATATTTGACGAGTTCTGAATATCGCGCAACCAACTATTAAATATGTTGAATTTACCGTGTTGTGTATAATTTTTCACTCGGAAGGATAAAAAGTATAAAAATTTAATGGTCGAGGGATACTCTGTTCGATTCTTTAATCATCCGTTATGGGTGCAAGTTCCGTTTAAAATATAACTACACATTTCAATTCTCTTGTTTCCTACATTCGTCTATTATTAACATCGTCTGTGAGTATTTTCTGGAGCTCTCTCTATAATTATTATATGCCTCTTCGATTGTAAATTTTCCCTTGCTTGAACACGATTTGAATATCTACACTAATGCAGAATATTCTCTTTATTCCCCTCACAGATAAAATTCTTATTGTATATACATTGGCGATTATTTGTTGGATGCAACATGTATGTGATTATTTAAATAAGCAATGACATTATTTTCTGCTTACTCGGCATTATGATACACTTAGAGTTAGATTCATTTACACATTTATATTTATACTAATCTAAACTCTTTCTCGAAGAGCAGATTAAACAGTTTTAAGCTGCATCTAGATATAATTGCTTGTGTGTAAGATAACCGATTACATGAAACGATCCAACGATACGTAATCAGAATAAAACTTTGATTTTTATTATAAGTTTAACTGATATAAGATGATTACATGCATACAAGTTATATTCAAATGATCGAACAAACGGCAGTAGGTAACGCTCCAAACAATAATCACGGACAAACAATGATACGAAAGTTCCTTTATACTTAGTAATTAATTTTTCGTATAAATTTGAAAAATTCTAATTGCTCGTAAAGCTATTTCGCTGAACTGAAACAGGTGGATTATGTAAAGGGAAATACAATTTTTAACGCGAATTGATCTTTCAGCAAATGAAAAGAATCGAACATTATCCGATCGGATTCGCAACAATACAGCTTAACATCGACCAGCCAGATACACCTTGAGCAGTAAACCCACTCTTGAAATTTTTATTTTACAATTTCGCTAGACAAGATGCCCTATTTCTTAAGTTACATCTAATTTCCATTCACTCAGTTCCTTTTACTCTCGTACGCAATATATGGCTATACAATGTTAGAGTTGGACAATTTTTATTCGAATAATATGATTAACAACGTATTCAAACAAGATAATTGTTCATTCGTATATGGATAATTTAAATTTATGCCGTATATGTTCGAGATGTAGAATAAAATGTTTCTTATTCTGATGGCATTAAACTTTTTAAATGAAGATGAGATACTCGACGATGAAATTATGTTTTTAATCTAAGGCTCATGAATTGAAAAATGTTAAACGTGTTGTTTGTCATAATTTACTATGTAACATCAAATTAATTCAACGTCAACTTCGATAAAATTAATATGTAACAACTGTTTATTCGAATAAATTTCATCCACGTAAATAGGCTTAAAAATAAATAGAAAATTTACTCGGAATAAGGTTGATTTAAGCAATTATCTATATATTAATAATATGTACAATGGTATTAATAATAATACAGTAATACACTTAATGTGAACAGTAATAACAATGATTTGTTTTTATTAATAATTTATTCGAATAATGTCCAACTCTCTATACTTAGAGTGAAATTACAATATGTACGTTTGAAACACGGTATTTAAGCATTTTTACATGTGCATTAAGAAATATGAAAATGACAGTCTCTGCGGAAAAACCAAAATTGATTTGTGGGACACGTTACATGTTCAATCAATAAACATGTCACGTCGTTTTAAGACAACGAATAAAGGCAAACGTTCAATTATTCGAATAAATAATTACAGGAGACATTTGTTTCTATACCATGAGAAAACTTCGATTAACATTTTTTTGTAATAGCATAAATATTTGTATAAAATTTTTATCTTTTTATATTAAACCGTTAACTCTTTATTAGAAGTTTAAGTAATGCTTGTTTTTAGTATCTTTTTACTTTGTAAATAAGAGAGGAAGAAAAATAATAATTTGACGACTTGTGTGTGTGTGTGTGTGTGTCTGTGTAGATTGTCGATTGCAATTGTATTAAATACAGACGTAACTTGTAAAAAAAAATAAATGAAAATCCATTCTATTTGCACATTTCATTTTATTCATCTTCAATTAGCTAACTTATAAATTGTTAAGACTTCAAATGTATATATGTACAGAAAGTTGTTAAATTAGTTCTGCACTCAATTACTAACTGTTTACAAATTCTAAAACATGACATATAAACTACAATTAATTTTACAGATATAGGAAACAATGAAAAAAAAGAACAAGTAGTAATAATGCAATATAGTGGATCTTCCGTAGAGACAATAAGTTTCCCTGATGAGATAAAGGGCATTGTTTATATAAATAATAAATGGTATCCTTAATCGATCAATCAATCAAGCAAGCAACCAATCGACCAATCGACCACGTATTTACAGAGAATACAAGATACATCGCATCATCGAAGGGGAGACTTAGCTGTCTCGGAGCTCACTCACCGCTTAACGAGCACGACGATCATCTGAACTACAAAATTGAAGGGAATTGAATGGACACTAGCTGACTCGTGATCAACTCCACAAAACTTTCCTGTAACACAAACAGAAAGTCTGTGTGAACATCGAATGATTCTCATTGTCAGCGTCATCGGGCGGTCATTAACGAGAGAATAATTTTACTTACGCTGGTTTAGGGGCCTTTGCGGAGGAACTCTCAGTAGGTTTCTTTTTACTACTTCTGCATTTCTTCACATAAGCTTCTATTAAGTGGGCAATTTTTTTCGGGTTGATTTCTCCCGTTTTATTATGACATATCTGAGGCAGATATCGTAAACAAGTTTTATACGAATACCATGATATAAATGTATCATCTTTTCAAATTTATATTGTTTTGAACTGTATACCTTAGGTACTGCTTTCCGCATGATATCCTTGTACTCTTCTTTTGTCACATGTTTCTTCGTGTAATGTGGCTTCAGGACTAATTTGACTTCCTCGACTACTCGCTCTTGACGATTTAATTTCTTTAGGAACTACAAAACAATCGAATATATTCTCGTCAAAAAGAATTGAACGATATGCCAAGTAAATGCTTGTTAATTAGTTTAAAGTAAAAAATGTACATAAGCAAACATGCACAGAACCAAACCTTATCCTTGACTTGCATCTCCACCGCGGAGCTCGGAAGATCGTCCAATATTTGAAGCTGATTTTCGTCCATCCTAACACCGACCTTCGGGTTGGTGGATTTCTTTTTCTTATCCTTCTCAACCTTCTTGTTTCTATTGGATTTGCTGGCAGTTTTCGTGGGCGGTGGAGCATTGAAAAGAGCGTCGAAGGCATCCTTCTTCTCCGTTGCTTTTCCCGCTTTCGGGTTGCTGTTCTTCGTAGGCTGAGATCCTCCAGCAGGTCCGGAGGTAGCGGTTCCTGGTCCGGAAGCGCCGGGCGAATTATTAAAATTCGTAGGACTCGGTGGATCGAACATTCCGTCGCTGAGCGTTGATCCAGGCGAGTAGGGGGAAGACATATCCACGTTGTCGGTCGTTTCCGCGCCAGCATCGTTTCCGTTTTGCCCGTTGGTCTTCGCTTGACCGGATTTGGAGCTCCTCGATGATTTCCCTGAATTAGCGAAGACCGGGGGTGCCTGAGAACGATCACCGGAACGTTGTTTCTGTTGATTACTTGGTGAAATTCGATTCGACTGTAACAGATTACGTTGACTACTCGTTGAATTTGACGCATTAAACGCTCCGCTTCTCTGCACCGCTGCAGCAACCGTAGCCAGTACGGGATTCATTACCCCGAAGGGATTACTCTGGTTTTGTATGTTTTGTTGATTCTGTTGCGCCTCCAGGCTTCCGGTGGAGGCCGCGGTATCCTTGTTACTTTCGTTCTCATTCATATCATCTCTTTGCGGCGAGGCTCGCTTAATAGTGACCATAGAAATAATCTTAGGTTTTTCCACTTGCTTCTCCTGACTCTGCCTATCCTGACTTTGCATATTCTCCTCTTCAAGAATATTTCCGTCCACAGAATCATGTTTCCTCGGGGACCGTCTTCTCTCGTCGCCGGAGTTCGCCTCCTGGCTAGCATCCGGTGTCGGCGATCTGGACTTGGTTGGATCGAACGGATCGTAAGCATCTGGGCTAGTCGGCGGAGACGTCGGAGGTTCCGGAGGCGTGTTTGGTCCGATTTTCAATCTTAACTCTAGTTCCTCTTGTGCTCTCATCTCCAACTCTTCCTCGACCCTTTCATCCATCTCTTCTTCTTCTTCTTCGTCTAAAAGTGGATTCAACATCGACGGCCGTAGATTACTGGCCTGCTTGTTTATCGAAAATTTTATTTGCGGTTCCGGCGGTGTTTTTGGGCCTTGAGAGATAAATTGTTCTCGCAGTGGAGAATTTTGAGACGGTTGACACTGATCCGGAGTGTTCTGTTGTATCTGCTTATCATCATCGTCGCTGAGGACTATCACGTCTCTAGGAGATGGTGTTTGTTCTCGGAACGGTGACTGATCTAAATCGATAACCGCAACCGGTTTCTTCGTGGCCGCGATCTCGGCAGCTTTGGACTTCTTCTTCTTGTCTTTTTTAGGCTTCGGAGACTTTGAACGCTTGTCCTTTGACTTCTCTTTCTTCGAACGTTTAGGCGGATCTGTTTGGAGCGATTCTCTACGACGTCGTTTCAAAGGTGGAATCAGAGGAATCGTTTCTGGTAGTTCCGGAACTGGAGCTTGATCGGTCTCGTTATCTTTATTAAAACACACGCTGACCAAGATGTTATCTCCACTAGCGAAGACCTCTTTCGACGGTGGCGGAGTCCTGTTGCGTTTTGCTTTCCTCTTCTTTTCATCTTTCGCTTTCTTACTCTCCTTCCTACGTTCTTTCTTCTTCTTCTTAATAGCTTCTTTATTCGTTAATATTACAGTCAAATTTTTCGGTGGTACTGAAACGTCATCCAGTATCGGAGACCATTCTCTGGAAGCGATTGGTTCTTGCTGCACGTGCGGCGGTGTTTTCGATCTGGACCTCGACCAAGACGGTGTCCATTGAGCACTCCAAGATTCCCTTTCTTCTCTTTCCCTCGGGAATTCTGGTTCCACGACTTTTTCGACCTGCTCCCAATTCCTAGAACAGGACCTTCCCTTCGATCTCGACCTACTCTGCACTTTCCTCTTCGAATGTTTCCTTTCTCTGGACTTGGAGGATTTTCTAGGCGATTTCGATCGAGTCCTCTTCCTATTTCTCGATCTGCTACGAGATTTGTACTTTTTCTTGTCTTTACGTCTGTCGCGAGATCTGGATAAAGATTTCCTGGATCTCGATACAGATCTCTTCTGTCTAGATCTTGACAGAGACCTTCTCGATCGCGAGATCGATCTCCTAGATCTTCTTCTTGAGAGGGATCTTCGCTTTCGAGAAACGGATCTCGACCTCCTCCTAGAAAGCGATCGTTTCCTTGAAGAAGATCTTCTTCTAGAAGTTGACCTCCTCTTTGGCGATTTGCGTCTGCTGCGGGAAAGAGATCTTCGTCTGGACAGGGATTTAGAATACGATCTACGATCTCTGGACCAAGATCTCTGCAATCTGGTTCTAGATCTACTCCTGGATCGAATTTTGGAATAAGATCTGGAACGTTTCGAGGACGTACAACTCCTAGATCTGCTTCTTTGTCTTGACTTTTCTCTGATATCCCTCCCGTATTCGTCTTTCCTAGGTCTAGAGGGCCTTTCAGCAACTATTTTTCGAACGTCGTATCTGGGCAATTCTTTCCTCTTTTCTTTCTTCTTCACAACCTCTTTCTTCTTTTTCGGTTTTTCCTTCTCCTTTTCTTTCGATTTCGATCTTTTTTCCTTGTCTCTGTAGGATCTCTCTTTTGTACTTTTCGACAACTTCTTCCAGGCTACTTGATTCTCGGAAGCAATATTTTCCTTGTTCTTCTCAGTGTCCTTGCTCTTTTCTTTTTTCTCCTTTTTCTTCCGTTTCTTTTCATCCTCTTTTTCTTTATCAGCTTTCTCGCCCTCTTTCACGTTTTTCTCCTCGACAATCTCTCCATCCTCCATTTCTTTCTCTTTTCGCAAGCTTAATAATGTCAACTCGTCCTCGAAATTCATTGCCTCGTCCGTCTCTGAAATAGCTTCTGTACCCAGGACAGTGTAATCCACCGGAGTTCTGCAGCTGTCCAAATCGTCAGGTTTATCCTTCGTCGGCGTGATCGGTTCTAAACCGCTTTCGATAGGTGGCAAATGTTCAGAAGATTTCGATTCCCTTAACGGAAGTTCGTCTTTGCAAGGAGTATAAGCCCCATCTGAATCCCATGTATTCTTATCATCCTCTTCGATCACTTTTTTACTCGACTTCTCTTTTTCAATAGGAAATCGTTCCTCCTCCTCTTCTTCATCTTCCTCGTCGTCTTCCTCGTCATCCTCATCCTCTTCCTCTTCATCCACAACATGCTGTTGCTCTTTGCCATCTTTATCATCCTTGTCACTATCAAAATCCCGAGGTTCCTTCATCTTCATTTCATCGTGAGCCTCTTCAATTTTTGAAACATCCTTCGAATCTTCTTCCTCGATATCCGTTTTCGGTGTCTTACGAAGCAACGCGAAGGTCTCGCTTCCTTCATCCGACAGACACTCACTACTCAATTCGTTTTCTACTTTTTTATCCAATGATTCAGTCACTTCTGAAGGGACAACTACGCTTCCATCCTTTTCTACCCCTTCGTGCTTAGGTGGCATACATTCCTCCTCTTTTTCTTCTTCATTCGTATCGTCTTCTTTCAGCGAGTCCGCAGATATCATAGGCTCTCCCGAATCTTCTTTCTCTGCCTTCAATTGCATCTCCTCCTCGAATCTGCTTTTAGCGATTTTCATTCGTTCTTCCTCGCGATCAACGGAGGTTTCTTCGTCTCTTGCAGGCTGTAAAAATAAGATTTATAATAATAATGCTACGTAAAATACAGGGCATATCATATTATAGCTTACCTCAGCTTCTTTTTTCTTCTCATCGTTGTTCTCTTTCTCTTCCTCCTGCAGTCCTAACAGTCTGTTATTAATCTTTAATTTAGTACCGATCTTGAACGTAATCTTTCCTCTGCTGTCGTGAGAAATTTTCTTCGGCGGTATTTTACTTAAAGTTCGCCTTTCCTTTCTCAATGCTTCAACATACGGGTCCGAGGGTTCCGGTATATCCGCGAGATCGCAGGCTTGAACATCGCCGACGATGACGTCGTCATCGTCTGGGATCGAAGGAGGTAAAGGAGGTGGTTCGAGAGGTCCTATTTGTTGAGACAACTGCTGCTGCGTATGCCGTGCTACGTCTATGGTTTGGGACGAGTAAATAGAGAAGTTCGGACAGTCGGCTTGAGAATCCTCATCGTCCTCATCCTCATAAGCTGGTAATCGAACAGACGTACCCGGAGTCGTTGTTTCTGGTTGTTTCGTGCATTGCACAGGCTGTTCTTCAACTTTTTCCTCAGAGACCTCATCGTTCTTCTTCGTTTCGCTGTCAGTGTCACTGTCCACCGAGAAAGGATCGTATTTATCGTTTTTTGGAGTATCTTCCTTCTGACTATCGTCGATAACTAGTTCTTGATCACTGTCTTTATCGCTTCGGGAGTTTTCTTCGAAATCTAAAAGCCCGGACGGAGGCTCTGGCGGCGGTAACAGTGCCATCGAACCATTCTGTTGATCTTGAAGTTCTCCGTCAGACTTCGTCTCGATATCGCAGTAAATGTCACAATCCTCTTCCTGTCTAACAGTGGAGTTCTCGGCATCTTGCGGTTGCTGATCTACGGTATCGATCCTCGGAGTATCCTCCGGTAGATTCGGCGGCATATTATTCTGAGGACGATCCACAGGAGGTTGCGGGGATCTAGGACGATTGAACCTTTCCGGGAAAGGATGTTCCGAGAAACCTTCAGCGAAATTAAACTGCGGTCTCATGGGAGGCATGAAACGAAATCTGTAAAAAGACAAAATTAAAACTCACTTAGCATTATCCACGAAATAGTTTAAGCGTACGCTTTTCGCTCTGTAATAACTCTCGATCTGTACCTTTCATTTCTAAAATGTTGAGGATTCCGATTTCTGAATGGGGGATTGCCGCCAAAAAGCGGGGGACCTGGAGGGCCACAGTGTTCGAAGTTCGGATTGTAAAACGGAGGTGGCCCGAAATCTCTCCCGAAGTTGCCTCCACCTCCTCCGTAACTGTGCCTCCCACCTCCGCCTAAGGAATCTCTTCCATAATTCTGGCCACCGTGACTGTGCCTCGTATTATCTCTATATCCGCCTCTAAAGTTGCCCCTGTTTCCACCTCCGCAAGGATTGTTGTACATCGGTGCTTGCGTAATCGATTCTGGATTAATCCTGGAAACTTCTAACGGAACATCGATCGTAGATACTCTATGTTCTACAACAGATTCGGTTTCTTCCATTTTACGTAACGAATTCTCCTCTGACTTCTCTTTCTTCAGGTCGCCAGGGTCTTCCTTCTTCTTGAGCAACACAAGTCCTTCAGCTTTTAAAGCTACGCTATTAGTATTATTTGAGTGCCATATCTCTTGATCGTTTATTATGCTACTTAGCAAATCGATTTGAGCTTGTTGCGGAGTAACGACGGTTTTTAGACGCATATGCCTCCGAGCAGAAATCACAGAATGCCTTTGGATAGTTATAGTGGGACCAGTTGCATGATAATCCTCCGTATCTGATCTGCAGGTACAAGAGGTTAAGAAAGAAGTTAATTTTATGTTTAACTGTCTGATATCATAAGAGCAATCAATAAGAAATGTTATACTTACCCAGGAGGACTATAATCCAAGTTTAAACCATCTCCGAACAGACTAAGTCTTGAAATTCCAGCGTTGTGTCGAGAAATGGTTAATGCAGATCTTTCTCCAGTTGTACGATTCTTAACAGTAGGTATTAATTGGGAAGCACCTTTAACCGGTTTACAAATACCCAAAGACCTCGCAAGCCTCTTTTTGGAATTGAGTAAAACACTGGACACAGTTCGAGCTCGACGCCTGTGACATCTCCTCTATAAAAATGAAAATGTTCTTATCTCCCATTTCCTTTTTAAGCCTCCTCATTTTTTACGTTTCGTTTTATTTTATTGCTCTTCGTACAATTTGGATTTTATATAATAAAGACGAATTGAATATTTTGTAGAAAAGGACGTTTATTTAAAAAAAAGAAACAAAGTTTTCAGAATTGATAGATTTGAAAGCAACTTTCTCAGAAAGTAATTAAAATACCTTTCTTCTTTTCGTCCGTCTTCTTCGTGATCTGACAGCAGACACTGTCGACACTTTTACGTACGTTACAATTTCTTCTTCTTCTCCGTCTTCGTTACGCTCGGTAATTCTAACTTCTCTTAACACCGTCCCTCTGTTAGAATTTTTTCTCGATCTACCAGTCTTCGTCGAATTATTCCTAGTTCTACTTTTTCTCGAACCACCCGTAGATTTTTTGCTAGTAGTACTTTTCCTTTTAGTCTTACTCTTGTCCGAATGTCTCGAATTAGTTTTATCATTGATTCTTCTTCGAGATTTTCTGGAGATACTTAGATCGCTAGATTCACTGGAACTATTTCTAGATCTCCGCGATTTCCTAGGATGTTTCTTTGAACAGTAACGTTCGCCCGAACCTAAAGAGTTCGACGCATTGCTCGGAGATCGACTTTGACTGTTATCTCCGAGGGTTTCGAAACCAGATGAAGTCGAGGGTTGACTTGGATCATTGATCAGTTGACGAGATAATTGAGCGTTATCGTCTAGTCTATTCCTCCTGGAAATTTAAACAAATTTATTGAAATATAAGATCTAAATGGTTGCGAAACTTCACTTATTTTTATCTTATCTTAATACCTGCGTATGGTAGCTCTAACACGTTCGGTATGTCTGGTACGAGGTACGATCCTCGGATGAGACTCCTGTAGTATAGTGCGAGTTCTTCCATAAGAAACACCAAGTCTTCGAGCTTCTTCCATTAAATCTGAGATTTCGTCCATATCAATTTCCACCTAGGAGTAGCAGTTATTTTATTTCATCGTTCAAAACAGTCATGAGTATTTAATACAAAAAACTACAAACAACTTACGGCTTCTGCATCACTTTGACTGTTTTGAGAACATTCTGGACAAAACCACTCTTCGATGGGCACTTCGCTGAGTGGCGGAGTCAAACATTCTAAATGGTAACCACAGTCGCAGCCATCGCAGAGAAGCATATGATCTTCTCTATCACAATGATGGCATACTTCGCAGAACGTAAGATCGTCTAGATTTTCCTCTACGCGAGGGGCCACCTGTACTGGAACACATCTTACAATCTGTAAGAAATACAACAATTAAATTACAAACGCCTTTAAATCTTGATAAATGCTGATCAGTGCCCGAGTTTATATTTTTATAAGACGCACCTGACCACCTAGCTTATCTCTGACATGAATTACTGTATACGTTTGTCTATCAACCGGACAAGTGTTTATATTTTTACTCCACTCAATTAAGCAGTCTAAACAAAAACAGTGTTCACAGGAGGAAGGGGTGCCTAATTCCTGCCTTCTAAACGGTAGTAAACAAATCGGACATTTCTCTACTTCTTCATCGCTACTGTCTGTGTCCGTCTCCGACACAATTTTTGGAGGCTTTTTGGTCCTCGACTTGCCGAGAATTTTTCGTCTCACGGGCGACTGCTTTTCTACTTCTGATGAACTGCTCCAGTCCGACTGCGACTCTGATGTTTGACTACTCACTTCTGAAAGAAACGATAGTATTAAATACAGCATGATTCTCTAAATGTAGTTAACGAATATTTTCAAACCGACCATATTTACTATCATCTGAATTGCTGGTATTAGAATCTGATTCTTCCACTGTACTAACTCTCTGAAAATAGAAACGACAAGGCGATTATATATTTAATTCTTTCAAATTAAATGAATCGGAATTAAGAATTAAATCAAGGCTTACATGGTTTTGTCTTCGGACGATACATCTTGGGACATCACTCTCTTCATCGCTAGTTTCACCTTCACTAACGAATGTCTGAAAGTGTGACATCGAAAGTAAAATAAAAGATGAAGTTCTAAATTCATAGTTTATCTAAAGAGTTTACATACAGAAATCTTTTTTCTTCTGCGGGACTGCACTATCGACTCATCACTGTCACTATCAGGTTGGACAAGTGTCTCCCAATTGCCTGATTGAGAATATTGATTGCTGTCATTAGACATTTTAACTTCTTTGTAAAATCATACCCGCCTTGTCACATGTCCTACAATATAGTATATATTAAATGATGGTAATATACTGAATATATAGTACATATTAAATGATGATAATATATTGAATCGTAAAATCTTACGAATAAAACGTTAACAAAATAGGAATTCAGAGGATAATGTTAATATACAGAAGAAAAATTTTGTATGAGAGCAAAGCTCTTAGTAAAAGTTTATTCATGAATTAAGCATCCCAAAGACAAGAATCTTATTATTTATTATATTCATTTTCTCAATGGAATTAAGTTAATTTTATTTCAATTGAAATAAAACAAAAATCAACACCAGAGTAAAGATCATATTTAATGCTTAAATTCTCATTGTTCCTGATATACACCAAATGGATTATGTTCAACGAATTAAAAATTATTACTCTGATCCAGGAGTAGGCTAACAGATATGTTATAAGAACTTCATTTCAGTCTTTCAGTATGTACCAGAGCCTTGTCGAGGTATTTTGTGAGTCACTGTATATAACCACATTAACACATCACACTAGATTCTTTTCATAATAAAAAAATACTCCAAACTACGAGAGTCTAGTCGCTCGCACAGTCTGCGAATACCGTCGCCCAATAATTATTGTGCCAGTATCGCCGAGAGGAAGTTGAACGAGAAATTTTTAACAATTCGGATAAAATTGCGCTAACAGAAACGGACGAGGACTGAGCGATCGGGACGAGAACCTAGAAGATGTCAATTTACCTTCGCAATTCTGAAGATTCCGACTATTCACTGTATCAATAGAATCTAATATCGATCATACATCATCAATGATTTAATTATTGACTGATTCGATGTTGACTTCGATGAAGATTTGTAAATGTTGACAGAGGGTACGCTCAAAGTTGAGAAACTGCCGACATTTTGGCTGCCGACGCCGTTCGCGACGTTGCGCTATTTTCTCGCCGTACCACTAACTCCGATCCGTATTAGATATTCATTGATTATGTCGATTAGATAAATAATAATTCGCCAGAAGAGAAATTTACGTCATCATGCCGTGGATCGGAAAATGATCGGAGCACAGAAGCTCCCAATAGTTTCAGATGGTTATTTGGTTTTTCGGTAAACATCCGCCGGAAACTGTGGGAAAGCAGTAAATTTAAGTCTGCCACTCGATTTTATTCTGATTTTTAGATACACATTTAGTATTCGTCAAACAATGATAATTTTTACCTTTAATTCGCATTACTCTTCTATTTATCTTTCTACTACTTTTACAATATCGAATACCTTTTTAATTCTCCTACATATGCTGCTTATTGTAAAAGTAATCGTTGACATATTCTCTTTCAAGATTTGCTAGAAATCAATTGAATATAAACATTCTTAATTTGGCGCTAAACATTTTATGATCGCATTCCATCTAGACACTAAAATTCCATTTCTAACATCAATTATCCCGGCTTAGGTTTAAAATGATTCTCACAGTTCCGCTACTTGCTGGCTGAATTGGAAGAGCGCTACCGTCTCTTACAGTTGCATGGTCTCTTGTACACGAAAACTACGCAAAGATGGGTCGTATGCACGCACCTGGGTAAAATTCATTAAATTCTGTTACAATATATCGTTATTAGTAGTTGAAACAATCTGTCTTTTACATATCTGTTATTCTTTCGCATCGCCCTAATTAAAATTGATACATTTCCTACGTGGAAAGTTGTCAAAACGACATCCTCTTAGCGGCCATGTGTTTCTTATTTTCACGACGTTATAATATTAGTTTTTAGGATACTTTGTACCGTTTGATACATGTTTCGACTGCATTATTAATCTCCTTAAATACGGAACCACTTCAAGCAATTTATTTTGACAAGTTTGGCACGATACTTGCTTGTTGGTATACACAACCTCACAATTCTAGGTTTAATATACATCATTTGTATAAATCAATTAAGGCAGATTTGTTCATTTCTTTTCATACTTGACATATTGCACATATTAATTTATTTTATATTTTTTTATTAATTACAGTGTTCAAAAATCAAAGATGTCATTCTGACGTGAGATCACAATTGATATAACAAATTAATATGTGTAATTGAAGTTTTAATGTCATATAGGATCAGAATATATGATGATAAAAGTTAATTGTGTTTCAGAAAGGGTATATCCCAGTCAGCTCTGCCTTATAGGCGCAGTGTCCCGACATGGCTGAAAATGACACCAGAAGATTGCAAAGCAGAAATCTACAAACTTGCTAAAAAGGGACATACACCATCTCAGATCGGTAATTTCTTAAATCCACTTATTTAACGTAAATTTTGTTTGCTAGAAGACCATGCTAAGCAAACTACTAAAAATTCAATGTTACATCAGTTGATCATTGATTCTACACAGTAGTTTGCGATAGTAACAAGTAATGGTGATGTTTGAGGTGATTAAGACCATGTGTCTTTACATCATAGGTATCACCGACATTTTTAATTTCTGTTTGTATATGTAGTACCGTAACGATTGAAGGAAGATAATTGTAACTTCCAGGTGTGATTCTTCGTGATTCTCATGGCGTAGCACAAGTACGCTTTCGCACTGGAAATAAGATCCTGAGAATTGTGAAGAGCATGGGCCTTGCCCCGGACCTACCGGAAGATCTATATCATCTGATCAAAAAGGCAGTTGCTATCCGAAAACATTTAGAAAGAAACCGCAAAGACAAGGACAGCAAATTCAGATTGATCCTCGTTGAATCTAGAATTCATCGACTTGCTAGATATTACAAGTCGAAGGGAACTCTTCCAGCAAACTGGAAGTATGAGAGCTCCACAGCGAGCGCTCTCGTTGCTTAACTTTCATTTATTTCTTAATAAATAAAAATAAAAATATAATTTCTGTGTTCTTTTCTTTTTAATTTAATGTGGCTTAAGAGATGTTGATAACAATCTTACTTACTGTATAAGATATGCCCCCTGACGGGCCTCAAACTTGCCTTCGGGCCGCTACCGCGCCTCTTGATTTAAGTATAAGTTCTTCGATGTGAAAAAAGGGAATTGGTTGTTTTAATTTGTTCGCGGTTGAACCTAACTCGAAGCCATCGCTTTCACTGTCCCAATTCTGACGTCAGGCCCAAGTTCCATAAAGAGGGGACCGATGAAGGGGTCAGCAATACGCTTGCGTGGTCTTCGTCCTCGACTTCTCTCGAGGAAGGCGCATGCGTTCACCAAGATGGCGGTCAGATTCTCACTCTCTAGTGGGCAAGGCTCTTTGAAAGCTGCGCCATATTAAAAAACTTCGAAATATATCTTCATAATTTTTTAATCGGTCGAAGAAATTGCAATTTCCACGGGAAAATCGTTGAACCGTACCGTGGACTCGGTCGCAGTGAAACGAACAGGCCGCGCGCGCGAATTCGACGATTCCAGGAAGTGAATTATGGGTAACGGAGAAGACGCGAGTGCCTTTGACGTTTGCGAACCATATTGAAAGGCATTTGGAGAAATATCTTAGTCAAAAGTAAGGTACGTTGTTTAACAAACTGACAAATTACATCTTCAAGTTCACGTAGAAACATTCAGCTTGTTGGTAACTAACTTTTAAATATTCGTATCCATTGTCACGTATCATCCTTCGGTGATTTAAATGCTGGTCGCACAGTATGAGAGATAGTCTTTTTTTTTCAATTTAACTCTCAGAACGAAAATTGCACTTAACATTTTTCATTCCTTTGAATTAAAATCTACTAATGGATATAATTAGTCTATTTGGAATTTTAATAAATCGACTGGAGAAGTACATTGAATAATTTTTAACTGTGCGGTACACGAAGGTGAATAACATATGGGATTTGCTAATTGACGCGTGTGAATGACTTCAGTGGAATAACAAGTCTCGCGAGACTTAAGGAAATATTTTCAATCTAACGTAGTACATGGAAATCTTTGTTATCGTTACATTGACATCTTCGTTAATCGACGAATTTTTGCGAAAACGATTACATCCCGTTATAATTGCATAAATTAATAAATACGTAACAACTGAATATCTGTTCGAGCAAAATAATATTTTACTGCTACTAGGAGAATGGGATTTAGGAATATTGCCCTTTGCGCGAAGGTTTTAGCTCATTCGACCATTAAGAAAGTGAAAGTTCGCTTCTATTGGACGGATATTTTCCTAATAATAATATGAATAACAATAGATTTAAAAGATTACACGGTTTTATGTTTTTGCGAATCTCATCCGGTGCGTTAATACTCGATGTGGCCTGGAATACCTGAACTCATCGTGACTCACAAAAATATTGAACACGTATGATATTTGAAAAATTTATGAGACGCGACTGTCGTAAATACATTAAAAGAATTCGGTTTTGAAATGTGCGCAGGGATTACTTCCCGTGTGTTCGTACCAGAACCTCGTTGTCATTGATAGTACATAAATTGTCTGATTTATGTGAAACTTCAGCAGCCCGACGTCTGACGATTACAATACTAAAGAAGTTTCGCGGTGTCCATGAAAATTTTCTATGGTCCGAATGGTTTCGTGAGTCAACTTTATGTAGATACTTCTTGTACAAAGTTGAAGTACATAACGCGCATCTCGTATTCGATTCATGCACGGGCGTCTCGTACCTTTAAGCACGGCGCGAAAAACCGACACCGGCCAAGCCGATACATTCTAAAAATGCTCAAAACCCTCTCGACACGCAACGGCTTGGAGATGTTGCACGGCCGTTGCACGAGCGACCGGTCAAGTGTCTGCTCGGCTGTAAACGCAACGCGAATTTATAAATACTTTTACCAAATGTATATTCGACGTGTCTTGAAGTTACCGCGTAGCCACGTAGAAGAACGTCGCGTCACGAAAACGGAACGCCTACGAGGAACTATTTGCCCCGTTTTTTGACGAACGGTACTGACTCGACCGATTTTCAATCACCGTTCCTCGTCACCCGTCGTTGACTACGGGAAAATAATGATGATGCAACGAAACGCATCAAGTTCGAGGTTCCACTATCGCCGATCATTGAATTTCCCTTTGTCGATCACGAGATCTGATTCCAGCTGAACTTGAAAGCTGAATATAAGTATTGCTAAACACGAGAATCACTTTCACGCGATTCAACTATACGTAATTCTTTTGAAAGATTTAGACATGTTCAGAGGCTGATTTTAAACGATGCTAAAATCGTGTGGGTGGGCATGATAATTTTTGGAATCGGGGGAAGAAAAGTTGTCGCGTAGATTGGAGGCGGGCATGGAAAAAGGGTTTCGATTCCGCATAGAATTTCCCTGAAACGGCTGGCTTTCACTTCTCTCTGAAGAATGCGAAGGCTGAGTGCCACCAGACCCGTATCAACTGCCCCCTTCACCAGCCGCAATAACGTTTAGAAAATTTTTCACCGGCCAATAACCAGCCGGGCCTTAGGCCCCCACTTCGGCTCCCCACTTTTTGCTTATAGGTTTTGAGAAGGTGAAAGACACTTGGCTATCGCCGCCGGTTAATTGCGATCGTCGGTTAAAATTCGGTTTCCCCGAATGTTAATGAGTCAGGATGACTGAAAAAACGAATGATTTTTCGCAATAGCCGCGCGGTGACCCCGTTTGCGCGCAGTTTCGACGGATCCGAGCTACGCGAGAAAGTGTAAATTGTCTCCCTTGATCTTACAACGTATCGAGCCTTTCTTGCGTGTCGTAATTCGGTTTCCTTATTTCTTTTTTTGCGCTCAAAGTTAAAGGAAAGTTGCCCCACAGTGTTACGGTATAACGCGAGGAAATACGAAACGAAACGTAACATAGATCAGACAAAAATCGGCTAAAAATTCTGAGGAGATCGAAACGTAATAAGAAATTTTAGCGAGCATTAATCGGTCGCATCTGTTCGCGATCAGTGGTGGTGGTAGAATTCCTTTAATGACATTTATTTAAAATCAGGTGCACAATTACGCGGTCGTCGGCAGACATGTTGCATAGTGAAAGTATCGGCTGCGATTACCCTTAAAAATTGAATTATCGCTCAACAGTCTTTCTTACGTAACGCGGCTTTCAAGTCGAAACCCATAAATCTTGTCGCGATCTCATTGATCATTAATCGCGCGCAGTTGAAACAACATTTTATATAAATATTCATCAAATTTTTATGCGAAACGATAACGGTACTTGTGCGATCGCGCGTGACAGTTGCGGTGAACGATAAAGAGTGCAGCGAAAACGTAAAAGGAGACGGATGTTCTTGTACAGATCGGGAAACTCGGTGAAAAATGGTTTCGAGGCGGAAGATTCTGTCTCGATCGAGGGACAATCTCGTCGAATCGCAGTATGAGGACCAAGAGGAAGAGGACGTGTGGTATAATCTCGATAAACTGTACAAGGTATTAATAATTGTCGTGTGCAAGGTGAACCGACGAAAATTATCGCCTTGAACGTTTTTGGAAATAAATAAAAAATGATACATGTCTGAGGCATGGTAATTTTCGACGGTGTACTTTGTAAAACGAAAATAAATCGATGGCGAATGGTGTAACGCGGACGTTTTATCTCAGGACCACATTCAAGAGGTACTGGACAAATGGAACCAGATCGACGATGAAATTTGGGCCAAGGTAATCGTTTTCGAAAGGAATCGAAGGGTAGCAAAAGCTTACGCCAGAGCACCCGTCCTTACGATCAATGGATCCAACGATGGATTCGATGGTTTCAGGTAGAGGATACTATTATTTAAAAAGAACTTCTTCATTTATCTTACGCGCGAATCCGTGTATACTATCTGTGAAATACAGGATAGGATTGTGCGGCTTTGAGAATCCTATGAGAGACCAAAAGACGGAGGAAGCGAAAAAACATATAAACCAAGGTGTAAAGATCAAGATGGACGAGCAGGGGAATATACTAATAAAAAGGCTGTGTAAAAATAACGTTTACATAAAGTCGACCAGTCAGGAAGACAACGCAATTGGAGCAGAAATTGCACGGAATTCTCAAGGAGCGTTAGAACACGAGAAACCGGGGAAAGTAAGTACACAACCGTTTGCTTTACTCCAATTCCTCGGTCATTATATTTTTTCTCATTTCACTTGCGCAAGTACAATGAATTTCTTCTATCGCCGCGCTGCCGTCGAGGATATTCTATTTCTTGAATTATATTCAGGTGTTCGAAATGAACAAATTTCAAGCGAATCTTTCCCGAGAAACTCGAAGAGCGTACCCGGACAGAAGAAGACTGGAGATGCAGTGCCTAAGCGCGATTGTCTTCGTTAGAACCGAACCGGATCTTCTTCAGTGTCCCGTTTGGGTTCTCATTGTAAACGTCGTCGGCTTGGACATGTTAAAGTCCAAGTTACCACCAGGTGGGACGATAAAAGATTACACCGATCTTTGTAATCAATAAGAGTTGTGGATCTTAAATTCTGTTATATAAATTAGTTCTAGCTCTACAAAGGCCGGTGGATATTAAAAATCGGCCTAGGATACCGATCCCTGATGAGGATCCGTACAGTGTAGCAGGAGTCTCGTCTTCAATCGGAGTTCCCGAGTCATTCCCACAGGACAGAGAGTCCCGAGAACAGATCTACCCTCAAGCGTCGAGTAGACACAGAAGAGCCGAAAGACCACCAAAACTGCCGCCAAGAGAAAATCTTTACGGCCATGACATACCCAAGGTAAGACAACTTCGTTACGATTTCTTTCTATCACCTCGTTTAATGTCATTAAGTAATACGTTCACTTTCACCTCAGCCTGATTACGACGACATAGAGGATGACTATGCTAGAAAGCCTGTCATAACGAATGACGACAAGAGAAGTAGAAACGATGACAAAAAGAAATACGGTAAACGTATATATTTGTTATTTCACTGAATTATTTTTAACTAATAATAAAATCAATTTTCGTATAGACGATCCGTATTATTGTGGATTACGCGCTCGGGTTCCTAATTTCGTGAAGATGGCGAAGAATAGTAAAATATCAACGAGAGGATATTCTAGACCTCCTCATAACCAAGCACCCACCTACGCTGCCGCAGGATATGCCAGCAGTCAATCTTCGCAAATCTATGGCCATTTACCCGGGAACCGACCACCTATTATGTACCATGCACGAAGCTTCGAAAGTGGACTCGGTAACAGTATATTTTTACCAAATTTTTAATAAATATTTAATACCTACTTACTATCTACGTAATAATTATTTTTTGTAGATTCGGATGGTAGAAACGAATCGCCGTATCATCATATATACGGAAGGTTTCCCGTACCAACCAGAGGCGTGATCCCACCCTCACCTAGAGCCATGTATATTGGAGATTGGGATTAAAGATAGACGAAATTAACAAAAATTAGATGATATGCGAAACGAATGTTCGATAAGAGAACAAGCCAATATCACCAAATGCTGACGTCACGGAAGATAACGTAACAGTACACGAAGGAGGACAGTTGGAGGAGACTTATGCGTAAGAAGAGCACACGTGTCGGTTAAGAATAGAATAAAATAAAGACTACGTGCAAGAACATAACAATTAGGTACAGAATGAGCTAAAAGTGGAAAAATAATATGAAAAGGAAGAAACTAATCTTCCGTTTGTACCTATAAACTGTATATTGTTAATGTACTACTTGAAATACTCAAATTTTTATTGCAATAAAATTGTAGAACAATGCGCATTTTTATTTATATACCTTCGAG